ACACACACACACACACACACACACACACACACACACACACACACACACACACACACAAGAAAAAGGCAGTATAGGAAAAAAAAAAGTCATCAAATTCCAGCTCCTTTGGATATCTAGATTCATCACTGATCCATTGAAACTGCTCTACAAAGTGTAAGAGATGTAATGGAGTTTGGATGTGTTATCCCCTCCAAAACTCATGTGGAAATTTGATTACAATGTGGCAGTCTTGGAAACTGATTGAGTCACGGGGGTTGATCCCTCATGAATGGATTAATGCTCTCCCTGGGGGAGGGGGTTTAATAAGTGAGTTCTCGCTCTATCAGTTCCCATGAGAGCTCGTTGCTTAAAAAGACCCTGGCACCTTCTCTCTCTCTTGCTTCCTTTCGCCATGTGATCTGCTTGTACCTGCCAGCTGCCTGCCACTTTCCACCATGAGTAGAAGCAGCCTGAGGCCTGTGCCAGATGCAGCTGTCCCAGAATTGTAAGCCAAATAAACCTCTTTCCTTTATAAATTACCTAGTCTCAGGTATTTCTGTTATAGCAACACAAAACGGACTAGAACAAGATGGTTTTATTACTATATGATATTCTTATTTTTTGTAACATAGCACTGAAACTATTTATGAAGATGATTTCTTCAACCACAGAACATTGTATAGGAAAATATAGAGAGGAACTAAAATATTTTTATTATAACTGACAAATTCAATATCTTGGCAGTCATATCATTATGTTAGAAGAATTACTTACTCAAGAAGATCTGGGTCTAGTCCTTCTGATATCATTTTATTTCTTATTGCCATCACTGGAACACCCTAAGCAAAGAACACAAGATAATAATTCAGTCATTCTGTTTACAATAGCCAAGACATGGAACCAACCTAAATGTCCATCGAAGGATGATTGGATAAGGAAACTGCGGTATATATACACCATGGAATACTACTCTGCCATAAAAAAGAATGAAATACTACCATTTGCAACAACGCAGATGACCCTGAAGAAACTTATGTTAAGTGAAATAAGCAAAGCACACAGGGATAAATACCTCCTGCACTCACTCACATGTGGGAGCTAAGAGAGAAAGAAGGAAGGAAAGAAAGACCACAGTAGTGCATTGGACTTGAGAGGGAGAGAACAATCTAGGGGCTAAAAAGGGGAGGGGGGGGAAGGGGGGAGGTGGAGTGAGGTTGGGGATAATTGGGTGGGGGACACAGGGTACAAATGCAATTTGTGGTAACAGGTATAGAGCCAGTATGAATCTGGCCCCCACATCATGGGCACAAGGGGTGACAATCACCTTTGTATCTCATGAATATCCATAACCAAAAAAACCCCAAAAAAGCCTCCTTTGTATGTCTCTACATACCACCTAAAACAAGACCTTTAGAAGCCTCATTATTTAAAACAGTTCTTGTTTGATTTTATGTTAGTACAAAGATACTTCAAAGAGTTCATGGAAAGATACATATTATCTTTTAATTTTATTTTTCCATGAACTTTTTGAAGTACCCTCTTATGTGCAGAGCAGTTCAATAATCCAATAAGGTATGCATTTTATACTGATTTAATGGAGCAAGTACTGTCCAATACCATATAAGCCTAAATTAAGTCATTTGCACTTATTCATTACCAAGTCTGCCGTACAGAAGGCAGAGATCATATTCTCACCCTTATGCCACCAAAAGAAAGAAAACATTGATAACTCAAATGATTAAAACACTGGCTAGAGGGATACAATGAATACTTAATATGAATAAATGTCTTTTCAAATAAAGATTTCAGGGCTTTCTATTGTTAAGTATAACTATGTCAATGCTTTTTTTTCATAAGAAAATGGTCTAATTCCATTTGGACACATTAGGCTCAAAGGTCAAACATAATTCAAGAACCCTCCTAGGCCTATATTATCCATCTTTCCAACACCAGTGCAAGCACTAAGTAATAATAATTCTAGAAGTGTATAAGCTGCAAAAACATTGAGAACATGTGAATTTCAGAGTTCAGGTTAAGAATATCAAAACAGTAAGAAAAGAATATGTCAGAAATAAATACTGTAGGAATTTACTTGACAAGAGAACTGATTTGATGAATAAATAAACATTTATTGAAAGCTCACTTGGTAAAGCTCTGAGGGGGGAAGA